AGGGGGGGAAAAAAAGAGAGGAGGAGAGGAGCATGGAGGCGATGTAAGGACACAATAGTCACAGTGACAGACACACACATGGAGTGACCGACAGACAAGCGGTCTGTCCGGTTCACAGAGGCTCAGACAGACAAACAAACAGAATGTGTATCGCTGAGTGTGCACAGCGAGATTACCTGCCAGTGGGAGAGTGTGTGTATATGTCTGTTTGCATTAGTGTGTGTGTGCGGATTTAGTCTCTCCTGCGTCTCACTGTGCCTTTTTTTGTGTGTGCTCACTCATGTGTGCCTATATGTGCCGTGCAGATATCGCCCTGCTGGAGCAACAAAAAAAAAAAAAAAAAAAAAAGCTTTCTAAACCAGAGTCTGACTCACAGTATTCAGCGCTTTGTGATATCCTCCCTTTCATATTTCCGCTGTGACTGAAGAGTAAAAGTTTGCTCGGTTTAGCACAACTTTCTCCACTTGAGAAACTGACTTTTTTTTTTTTTTTTTGCAAAAAAATGAAGCGCATTGTGTCTGGATACTTTCTGGGGACCAAGTCTGTAACAAAACTGATCTGCAGCAGCTTTCAAACGCAGGCTGGCTTTGTCAAACTTTTTCTCTCTCAGAGGTCAGAAGTGTTTGCCTTTTCTCTGACACGCAAGAATTACACATTTGCTACACATACTGTAAAAAAATGCACTTACTCATGTCACAACCATTCTGCCTTCTCTCCCTCCCACACACTTCTCTCTCTGGAAGTTATCCCCGTTTCTCTGTCTTGTATCTTCCTTTCCCTGTCGTATTTTGTGACATCTGCCTCCTGTCCTCCCTCATCCACATCAAGCTACATTTAGGGAGGCAGTCCACGTGCTGCTCGGAATAATAAAAAAAAAAGTAACACCATTTCAAAAAATAATAATAAAATAAAATTGAAATGTCACCTGAATAAGCTGCGGCACCACGGCGGAGGCGTAAATTAATCATTTAACTTCATCAATTCATGTAGAAATGCAACATAGTCTTGCGTGAAGACACAACTTCTCTGCACTTGTGTGTGTGTGTGTGTGTGTGTGTGTGTAGGTGTTTGGCAGAGAGAGGTCTTTGCATGATTCAGAGAAAATACACAACACTTGCTGGTAAAGTAAAACCTCCTTTTTTTTTTTTCATCTATTGTCTTCCACAGATTGTAAGAAAACAGGAAATTCCTTGAAATCACAATTTTAATCGACTTTCTTTTTTTTTAAACTTTTATTTTAAGGATTAGAGAATTACTGCATTTTTGCTTTACAGAGACGTGACGCATTCTGTCCAGACTTGCGTCAAACTGGGAATCCAGAAGTTTCACTACTCGGTGTCTAATTAATTAATAAATGGCGTCTCTGTGACCTCTGTAAGCTTATGCTCGTTTCCCCTCGTGTCTGAGTCACTCTCCTCCGCTTTCTGTGAGACCATATAGGCATCTGTGTCCGGGGGCAAAGTGGCAGAAGTTGCTTCAACCTAATTGTCTTTCTCTACTCGTACTGTCCTCAGATGACTTTCTCTCTGTCTCCCCTCCCCTCCCTCCTCTGCTCCCTCGCTCTCTCTCTCGCTCTCTCTCTCTCTCTCTAGCTCTGCCCAGTCTCTGTCTCCGTCTGTAACTGTAGCCTGTGTTTTTCTCTCCCTCCCACTCCCTGCGACGTATAGATACTGCATTGATCAGACACACGCGCGCAGACACATGCACACGCTGAGCCTCCCACTCCTTTCATCATTGATTCGCTCTGCTCTGCTTTTCTTTCTCTCTCACCCTCATTCTTCCTCTCTCTCTCTCTCTCTTTCTCTCTCTCCCCCCGGCAGCGGCACTTGTTGAATTCAACCCTTGGAGAATAGAGAAAGAGAGAGGGGGGTGAGAAACACACACACACAGAGAGAGAGAGAGAGAGAGATAATGACAGGGAGGCAGAGCTGGAGCAGACAGGGAGCAGAGAGAATGGGGCTTTGGAGGATTTAGAGATAGAGGAGGATAGAAGGAGAAGAAAAGTCAGGGCAGAAGAGGAAGAAGAATCGTCTTCGAGACACTTTTAAGTGAAAGAGAGAGAGTCGCCCAGACGGAGTGTATCAGAGTCCTCTCCTTCCTTCTCCTCCGTCCTGGTCCTGACTGCTGCTTCTGCTGCTGCTGGGGGTGTGTGTGTTTGTGCAAAGGCTCCATGGTGTGTTTTATCCAGAAGACTGGCTCACACAGGTCAGAACTGTCTGGGATACCAGCTTTTATTTCTGCATTTGTGCATGTGTGAAAGGTGAGAGTACACAGCAAATTCTCTATACAGCCTGTACTGTATATTTGTGTGTGTGTGTGTGTGTGTGTGTGTGTGTGTGTGTGTGTGAGCACTTTTTATGTAAGTAACCCAGAGTGCATGTCTGTCTGCATGAAGTGGGAGAGAGTAAGAGAGACATAGTGTGTGTGTGTGTGTGTAAGAGAGGCGGTGACATTTTTTCAGTTTGTATTCCTGGAAACTGTTCTGCAGCATTGCTTAATAATGAAACTAGTGCGTACATATAAGTGTGTGTGTGTGTGTGTGTGTGTGTGTGTGTGTGTGTGTGTGTGTGTGTGTGTGTGGGTTGGTGGGGAGAAAAAAAACAATGATACAAGGTTTAGGGAAAAAAGAAAAGAGGAACAAATAAGCCTGGAGAATGTTACTCGAGGATGTGATATTGTGTGTTTGACATGAGTTACTTTTTTTTTCCCTCGCCAGAGTTTAGAAAAGAACCCAAATGCAGACCGAAAAAAAAAAAAAAAAAAAAAAAAGGTGCAGAGTCAGCGAAATTTAAGGAGCATCTTTAAACTGAGACTTTAAAAAAAAAAAAAAAAAAAAATGGTTGAGGAAAAGTTGTTGCCAAGACGGCCTTTCAGGTCAAGCTGCAGGAAGATCGTGGTTGATGCGTTAAGTGTGATGCGTGGAATGAGTCCAAGCGTTTTGGAATATAAGGCATGAAAACAGCATAGCCTTAGGGTATTTCACAATATTCTCATGTACAGTAGGAACGCCATTGTGTTTTTTTTCTGTCTTCTGTGGACTGACTTGACTCCTCCTTTCTCTCTCCTGCCTCTCCTCTCTCACCCACTATCTCCGCGAATCCATCTCTCTTTCACACACCTCTCACTTCTCCCTCAACTGCAATTCATTTTCTCACTTGGTCTCAACTCTTTTTTTTTTTCTTTTTTTTTTCCCCTCCCAATCCCTTTGTGCTTTCTCTTAATCAAGATCCTCTCGGTTTCTACCTTCTCACCTCTCTGCCTCCCGATGTCACGTCTTTTCATCTTTCACACCTTCTCCTTCTTCTTGATTCACTCCATTTCTCCTCTTCGACGTGTTCTCAATACTTTTTGTTTTTTCGCAAACAGATGCCTCTCTCAGCGGTGGAGTCTGCAGTAAATATCTGAAACCCCATCTTCCTCTACCTCGGCGGCCAACATGTCCCAGCTGCTCCATGTGGAGATCCCGAACTTCGGAGCCACAGTTCTGGGCTCCCTGAACGAGCAGCGCTTGCTGGGACACTACTGCGATGTCTCCATCCTCGTTAAAGGTTTGTTGTCCCGAAATCTGGACATGTTAGCTTAGCCGCAATAGAATCTTTAAAGATAATTCTCAACATTCTTCTGTTCTCTGTTATTTCTACCATGCAGGCCAGGCGTTCAAAGCCCACCGGGCCGTTTTGGCTGCCAGCAGCCTCTACTTCCGCGACCTCTTCAGCAGCTCCACCAAGACCCAGTTTGAGCTGCCCTCCTCCGTCACACCTGCTTGCTTTGAGCAGATCCTCACTTTCTGCTACACAGGGAAGCTAACAATGGCAGCTAGTGAACAGCTGGTGGTGATGTACACAGCTGGCTACCTCCAGATTCAGCATATAGTCGAACGAGGCATGGACCTAATGTTCAAGGCGAACTCCCCGCACTGTGACTCGCAGACAGCGGGGTCCTTAGAGGAGACGGGATCTGAGCCGCAGAGTCCTTGTAATAACGGGAACGCTGTGGCGACTCTTTTGGGGACCCACGGGTGGTCTCCGTCCATGCTAATGCCGCAGCGTAAGATCAAACTAGAAAGTGGGGACCCCACGCCCCTGACGGTACCCTCGATGCATAGCAAGATCTCGTCCTCGGAGTTGGGGAGCCGCCTTGCCAGGGCGAGTTCGCTCTTCTACACGACAGCGGGCGGAACCACAATCCCCGGCGTCCCTCCTTACCACCTTCACGGGGCCAGCGGGGGCGGAGCTGGAGGAGGAGGAGGAGGAGGAGGAGGTGGAGGAGGAGGAGGAGTTGAAAGGTCCAGTCCTGGAGCGTCCAGCCTGCCGACCACTGACAGCCCTACTTCCTACCAGAACGAGGACGAGGAGTTTGAAGAAGAGCCGTACGATGGGATTACAGACGATGCCTACAGTCATCTGTATGGACGCTCAGCCAACCCCTACGGGAGTGAGTATCACGTTGTATTGATGCTTTTACTCGATCTTCGTGAAGTGCTTCAGAGCTTAGGTGGAGCTCGAACTCCATTGGCACATTTTCATGGAGAGCACTCATCACGGAAGCTTTGCTCTGAAGTATTTTTCATCCTAAAAAACGGCTAAAAATACAGCAGCCTCTCCATTATAGACAGTTTCACCTCACAATTATACACAAATATATAAATAAATCATAGGAGTTCAAAGACAAATCTGATCAAATGAGAAAATGCTCAGAGTCAACAGCAGACCTGCTTTAGTTTATCTTTGTAGTCATGGAAGAACTGACTAAGTGAATTACTTTCCCAAATGCCCTTGGCGCAAAGGGAGGAAATTCATTTGATACCAGGCTGATCTAAAAGTAAAACTCTGCATGACTTGCAGAAACCATAAATGCAGTTTTTTTTGGGGGGGGGGGGACATAGCTGCTCCTTGTCTGGATTTGTTACATATTGTACAAAGAGAAACGGATGCACATCGCTTTCTTTGGAGTTACATTATTTAATCCTTTATACAGCATGTATCCTGAGCATTTGAAAAAAAGAAGGATGCCTAAAGTGTGTGTTTGGGGTGGGGGGGGGGGGGTTCTCTCAGCATAAAGATAGCTTTATGGAGATGTGATTGGAGTGCATCATGACCATCAACACACTCCTTACACACACTCTGTGCTGCTTTTTGTTCGAACACTTTCATACTGGTGCAGATTGTCCTTCATTAGCAAGCATACATGCTTCAGTCACTTGTGTTTGCATTTACACATAAACGCCCTACACACACACACACACACACACACACACACACACACACACACTAACACACACACACTAACACACTGTCAATTGTACAGTATCCTGCAGGCATCCAACAGGTTTGTCAAATTCTAGAGTTTCAGATATTTATGAAACCCACTCTATCTCCAATCACTCAGAGCACCTCAGGGTGACATTGTGGGATATTTGAGAACCCTGCATGACTGTCCTATCTGTGTGTGTGCGTGCGTGTGTGTGTTAGTGTGTGTGTGTGTGTGTGTGTGTATGTGTGTGCATGTAGATAAAAACTGCACAATAGAAATCCATACTTTCCTGCATGCACAATGTGCAAGTATGTAGCAATTAATGGATTCACTTCTGCGTGTGATCAAATGTGCCTGGAGGAGTTGTGTGTGCGTGCACATCAACACAAAGCTCATCTCAGAGGTTGGGGGGGGGGGGGGCAGTTTTGTGAGTAGGAAACTTACACCCACTGGGCTTTAGGTGCGTTCCCCTCCAAAAGTCAAGTTGCTGATGCTGCATCGTGACTTATCTAGGATACATCTGCAATGCTCTGGAACATTTATGAAACACAAACGCAACGCAAAGTGACACAAACCTGCTTTACTGATTACGTTTGTGCACATACAGCGGGGCACAGAGGGTCAGCACTTGCATGAATCCGTTTTCTCTATCTGTGTACTTTTTTTTACGAGTACCGCACAAACCTCTTTCTGAACCCGTCCTGCTCTCTCTCTCTCTCTCTCTCTCTCTCTCTCTCTCGCTCTCTCTGCTTTCATCAGTCCAGGACAAGTCTGAGATGGCAGCGGTGCCCTTGCCCTTGGAGAACCGCAACTGTGTGCTGATCCGCAGGGACCTGGTGGCTCTGCCTGCAAGCCTCATCAGCCAGATCGGCTACCGCTGCCACCCTAAGCTCTACTCTGAGGGGGACCCCGGGGAGAAGCTGGAGCTGGTAGCTGGTAGGCACGCACATAGTTACACATTCATCCACTTGCACACATTAACTCTCTCACATGCAGAGAAGGACTTTCAACCAAAGAGTTTTCGGAAAGTAATCGTGCATCCAACATTTTGCGGAATTGACATAATTAAAAATGTATATGTGGGAAAATTACATTTAAATAACTCAGTCATGACTTTTCCCAGAGTTGGCCACACGCTGAGAAAGAGTATGTAGGCGAGGTTGCATTTATTATCAACAACCCAGTAACCTTTACTGGTGTTTCTTTATGCAGGAGACACTCAAATTAAATCTTTGTTTGACCCTTGAGAAGCCGCAGTTAGGGATTAGATTCTGGTTATCTAGTTTACAGTGACGTGTGTCGAGGACTGCAGAACATATCAAAACCAAAAATGCTTTATTGATCCCGTGGGGAAATCAGTTGCTCTTAGACGAGCAGGAGGGAGAGATAAAAATATCAGATAGGATAAAATAAGACATGAGAATCAGAAATAAAAACTGTATGTAAGTAGAATAAAAACAAGAAGAAGAAAAAAAAGACAACTCTATTATGAAAATGTAGTGACGTATAAACATCACTAACGCCTCGTTTCCACTTACTTACGAGTCAGCCTGAAGTGATATTCGTGATATCTGCCTGTGAATCTCCTCAGCTGCGTTATATTTCGGTCCAGAATGTGCCGCGAGTACGTTAAAAAAAAACAAAAAAAGAACTTTTTGTTGCACCGATAGCCTCGCAGTGATGACGCCCGCCCCGTGTATGGAGGTTAAAAGTCCTCATCGCAGCAGCTGACGGTTTTGAATCCTACCTCGGCCCTTTGCTGCATGTCTTCCCCAACTCTCTCTCACCAACACTTCCTGTCTCTCTTCAGCTGTCCAATCCAATAATGGCAAAAATCGCCCAAAAAATAAATAAATTAAATTGAACTTTTGCTGTCGATTTCGCTGAGGCCGTATGACAGTGTGTTAGCTTAGCGGACAGGCTGCTAACTAACTAACAGGCTGTTTCCTTTTTATTCAGTTGCGGATGTTAACAGTTATATGAGTTTGTATGATTCAAAAGAACTTGTTTATCAAGTTTTAACACATTGTCTATCTGAGTAATGCTAATCTGCTAAAATACGGTTGAACATTATTTACAGTCATCGTCTTCTCTATCAGTTTGATATTCTCCCAAAACACATATTCCAAACTACTGGATGCTGATTAGAAACGAACAAACAATAATAAGTGATCTTTAGTGATGATAAAGTAGAAACATCACTGAGGTATAATGAACAATAACAAATATAAACAAGAAGATGAAATTTGGCTTCAAGCTAATTCTAGCATCTGTACATGGATGCGGTTTGCTGATATGTTGATTAATGTCCTAATTTAATAAAGAAATCAAATAAAGAAATAGAAGAGTAGTGATTTGAACACCATTAAGCAATATAAACAATTATTAAAAAGCAGTTGGAAATAAAAACAACAAAAGGAAGTATAAACAACAATAGGAAATAAAGTATCACTAACTAAAATTCATATTTGTAACAATCACATTTATTAGAGATTAGCAGCAGTTCTAACCTACGTCACTGATAAACTATAATGAGTCTAGAAGTCTCTAATGCTCAGATCTTTACCCTTTGAAACACCTTCAGACTGCACATGACCCACGTTAAAACTGATCCTCATTGGCTGACAGAGGCCGCTACTGAACCACGTCACAGAGTCGATCTGTTCCGTGCTGTCTGAAGCTGCAGAGGCTCACTGCAGAGATTGAAGACAGTGACAGAAGGACACCCATCTCTGCAGTGATCATCAATCAGGCCTTTATGGTGGAGCGCCTAGACACAAGTCACTCCGGGGTAAAAAGGCATATGACGGCCTGACCGTACTTAGCTAAATGGCTCTTAAAGGTCTCTTAGAGCATGAGAGAAATGATTTTTTTTTTTTTTGGGGGGGGGGTATGATGAGACAAAAAAAAAAAGTGGATGTCTTTGGTGTGACTGCCAGATATTGCACTTGGCAGTCAGACAAGAGACTTTCAAAGAGACCTGGTGCTGCTCGACATGTACCCGTTTCAATTCCTACAATGGAGCATGGCAGGAAGGCTAATGAGTTTAGTACTGGATCGTTCAGACCAAAAAAATAATGCAGTCTGAATACTTCCAAGTAAACTTAATAGAGAGAACAACCCCGACATGAGGACACATGCAGATGCAACCGGTAATCAATCAAAAAAAACAAAAACAAACTTTAGATTTAATCAAGTTATCATGAAATGAGATTAAAAACCCACGGACACAAATTGGAATTGCAAGAAACACAAAACATGAAGGTCAAAGATATGCCTTGAACAGAATTCAAACTAATTTTGAACAGTTTGATGTTTTTACAGCCTTCACGTTCAATTTTCTCTTTTTTTTTTTTTTTCCTACTTGAGGCAGTTAAAGCTTTCTCTTACTCCCTAAAATATTTAAACCTGTCAAATAAATCAGACAAGAAAAAAAGGGTAATTAAAACCAGAAGAGGAGGGATGAATTCTAAGAGTCTTCCAAAACAAAGAAACAGATTTTTAATATATTCTTCTTTTTTCAGGTACACAGGTGTTCATGACTCGAGGCCAGCTGATGAACTGTCATCTATGTGCCGGAATCAAACACAAAGTCTTGCTCCGCCGCCTGTTAGCCACGTTCTTTGATAGGTGAGATTACAAACATGCACACACACACACACACACACACACACACACACAGAAAAAAATAAAAAAAGCAGAACAGTTTGAATTGAAGGACCTACAGTAAGATTAGTGTTCTGTGTATGACTCCAACACTACTTCTGTTGTCACAAACCAACTTTCACACTCCATCTGTGGCCATGTTGTGCAATGCGGTTATGTGTGTGTGTGTGTGTGTGTGTGTGTGTGTGTGTGTGTGTGTGTGTGTGTGTGTGTGTGTGTGTGTGTGTGTTCTCATGTATATCTACTGTTATGTGCCGGCTGCTGACTGCACCCCCTGGTGTTCACTGTGTGTCCCTGCAGAAACACTTTAGCCAATAGCTGTGGGACTGGAATCCGTTCTTCTACTAGTGACCCCAGTAGGAAACCCCTCGACAGCAGGGTCCTCAACGCTGTCAAACGTAGGTTCAATATCTAAACCTTCTGATATATTTAAAAAGCACGCTTTGTCTACATTAACTTTTTTTTTTTGTCTTTTGTTTTGCAGTCTACTGTCAAAATTTCAACCCTAACTTCAAGGAGAGTGAAATGAATGTGATCGCCGCCGACATGTGCACAAACGCAAGGCGGGTACGCAAGCGGTGGCTGCCCAAGATCAAGTCCATGCTGCCAGACAGTATGGAGGTGTACCGTGCAGGGATGGGCATGGGCACCGCGGCTGCTGTGGGTCTGGGCTTGGCGCTGGGAGCCCCTCAGGCAGGGTTGCCCCTCCCCTTTGAACCTGATTTCAAGTCCTTAGAGCAGCGGTTGTACCCGGAGCGTAAGGACCCTCTCAGGACTCATCAGCCGCTGAGGGAGGGCAGCCCCGGGTCTGGAGGAGCCGGAGGAGAAGCCGAAGGCGACGGGGAAGGAGTAATCCACGAGGAGCAGGAGGAAGACGAGGAGGATGCGGGGTTAGAGGGGGTAGACAGATCACTGGGGGCGCCATCTTTGATCCCAGGAGCCGAGGCGGGCAGCTGTGGCGACACGCCGCCAGAGCAGGAGGTGGAAAGTTTTGGACAAGGCCTGAGGGTGAACGGACAGTGAATGCCTCTCTCACGTTGTGAAATCTGTTTAACACCGCTTTACTTTTTTCGCTTGCTCTCTTACTCTAACATCTCGCCCACCACTCTTTCTCTTCTCCCCCTCGTGCTTCCTCAGCGGGAATTTTTTCAGCACAAAAAGCAGCGCTCTTAGGTCTTAATATACAGGACATTTTTGTCTCACATGCATGCGCACATGTGTGTTCACACACGCACACTTGATAGACGAACTACAACACCCGGCAGGAGAAGGTGACACAGGCATGGCATTCACACTGTGAGAAAAAAAAACAACACTTTCTGCTCCACCCTTTCTCTCCATATATTCTGTGTTCACTCTGTATTTCTGCACCCGAAAACCACGAAGGCCTGATAGCAGTACAAATGGGCTTGAATGATTCATCCTTTCAATTCAGTACAAAAAAAAAGCAGCAGCTGCTTCACGGGCAGTTTATGGTGTGTGGCATTATGGTTTTTTAAAGCGATTCAATTTTCTTGGAAAGCTGCATTTTAAAATAACCTCTGTAACCTCGGGCAGAGCAGACCGGAGAAACTCTCGAGGGGGCAGTCGATTTTCAAGCATCCAGACCTCTTCTCATCATACGCTTGTACATTAGCTATGTAGACATGTTTAACAACGATACGATTGTGACATTATAGAGGTCATGTACTTTATTAACACCAGATAACAGAGCAATTTCCCGTTCTGATAAATCTGCATTTTTGTGGTTCAAAAAGATTAGAAAAGTGTTTCCAAGAATCTTAAATACTTCACAATCGAAACAAATAATCTATCACATGGCGTTGTTTTTTTCATGCATTTTCCACCGCGACAAATCCAACTTAATCATCAATGTGATGCCTGTGTCTGCTCCAAACCGCCTCCTTTTAACTACCAAACATACACACACACACACACACACACACACACACACACACACATGTCCAAACATTACTCACTTTAGGATACTAGCCTTTAATATCTGCACCCATGCATTGAAAACACTCTTTCTGGATCAAAAAAAAAAAGAGAAAAAGAAACAATGCTTTTTACCTTTGAAAATTAACTTCAGTCATACATCATTCTGTCTTGGAGATGCTGAGAGAGACATGAGCAGCAACATGCATTAAACCCAAGCTTGCATGCATGAGAACAAACAGAGAATTTAAGAAAACGACAACAAAGCCACAAACCTGCAGCGAAATAAAAGACAACAGCTACTGTACCTCGAGTTATGCCATAAATACGCAAAAAGGACTTTTCCCGCCATTTTTCACCGGGATGTGACATCAGAACTGAGTCGGTGTGACTGTTTTTGAGAATAAATCACAGTTTCCTTTTTTTTTTTCTCAAACAGAGCATGCTGTCGCCATAAGTTAAGGAGGTTGAATACATGGTGTAGTAAGGAAGTGAAAGCGAGAAGCACTGTTTCATCTTCATGTGGTGACGTGGGACTACTTCCAGCTTTTATTTTTTTTGTCTGTTTTTTTTTTTTCTCCCTGGGGGGTAAATTATTGAATTAAACCTTAAGGAGCAATTTCTGCTGGCTTGTTGCATTCGCACTCTAAAAACAAAAAGGTTCAAATGTGTGAAACTAATGCAAATGTGATTGTCCTACGAGACTTAAACTGCTCTCTGCATCACTGATTATTTATTCGATGGGGGAGGGGGTGGATTTGCAAGGAGAAGACTGGTCTTTCAGACGATAAATGTTCCTATTTTTTTGTAAAGGGAGCGGGGGCGGAGTGAGTCTTAACAGGGACTTAAAACCTGTATCTTCTCTTTTGATATCTGTTTTCATGCTTTCTGCCTTCTGTTGTTGTTTTGTGCGTTGATTCTTGGAGAAACACTGTCGTACCTTTTTAATCGGGGGGGGGGTTCTGATCAGTGTGGAAACTCATTTAATCATGTTTAGATAAAAGACTGACCCCCATTTTATTTTAAATCCACAAACTTTTAAAAAGTCAAATGTATCTATTTATTTCCCCCACTGCAAAATTTAGAAGCTACAACCGAGAAAGCAAACCGATCTTGAATTATCTCTTTTTGTTTGCGCGTCAGTGCTGTGCAACTGGAAAGTTTGGGTCGGCTCTTTCTCAGCCTGAGAAGCTTTAAGAAGGCCCTGCACAAGAAACACAGAGTTATAATTGCACTAGGTAATAATTAAAACGTTGACAGTATCTTTTTTTTGTTTTCCCTTTGGAGGAGATGTGGTCGTCTGTCCTAGATGAAACAGGGCTGTGACAGAGTGGCTGAGCTGATGAGTGAATGTAAACTGTAGCACTGCTTGGACGAGGAAACTGAGTCACCATCGAAAAAAACGCTCGAAAACTTTTGATACGACACGTTTTTTTTTTTTTCCAGAATTGTATATTCTTAAAAACGGGCCAGATTATAACATTAATTTGACTGTGATTTTTTTCTAAAGCGCTGTGAACAAGTCTTCCAATGTGGAGAACAACAGGGTCAATCTCCCTGATTTACAGAAAACTGAGCGAGACTCTGTATATAAATATAGATCTTTATATGTGTGTGTATATACTAAAAGATTTGGAAAGTCATTTCTTCAGCTCATTTTTTATTTATTTAGCTTCAATTCCAGAAGTTGATCTGAAAAACAGTAAAGAGTATTGAGACATTTATTCTTTATTTGTTAACTAAAGTAACGTCTTCCTAAGATGCATAAAAAGATCATTTTGATGAGGTTATCAAACTCTTCAATCATTTTCAATATTATGTGCTCAAATACGATGCAATCTCCATTGTTTTTATTTTTAACCTTCAGTTGAAAATATGTGAACGCCTGCTCAGTTCACGCTGTCTACATTGCACAAAAACATTGACAACATTTCCGTACAGAAACGTTCTCAAAATCATTGTGCAATTGAGACAGTGTGCAGGAGTTCACTTGCAATTTTCGGTCATCGAAGACATTGCAGAATATTGTTTGACTCGGACTTGTTGCCATGGTAACAATATAATTTGATCTATACTAGTATCGTATCACAATTGCAAATTCTTGTAAATTGACAACCTTATTTTGGAAAGCTGCAACTTCATTAGCCTGTCGCTCCAAAAATTCAAACCTGTGCACCCAAATGTGCAGACAGAATTTTTTTAACATCCTCTCTCTCATGCACATTAGATGTATACGTATGCTTTCACTAAGATCTGTGTTTGAACAGGCAGACTTTTGCATGGCCACTATTTTACTAAAGAAAATTCTATTTAAAAAAAAAAAAGTCAAATTAGAACAAAGCAGGGTTGGAAACTTTGATATTCTCCACTGTGGCGATAGAGAGGTGTGGAGCAGTGCCTTAGACTGTGACTGTGTGGGTGTGGATGTTGTGATCTGACCCTTAATGTTTCTGTAAAGTTAGAGATATGACAGATTTGTCTACTTTTCTTAAAGTTATAAATCGACACACTTAAGCCTCCAAAACCTTTTTCTTAGTCTTTGTAAATATATGTTCTTTAATTTGCTTCTTTTCTTGTGTTTGCCTTCAGTCTGTAAGGACAGAGAGCGTGCCCCAGCAAACCTAATTAAAAAGGTTAATTGCACTTAAATCCAACAGCCAATCAGAAAGAACCAAGTCAAAAAGTTACTAGATGATCCTTTTTAAATTTGGCCTGATAAACAATCACACATCTATCATTGTTTTATTCCCTTTAGGGATTTAAATGTCGGGATGTTCACTGTTTGTCTGCCGTACCCCAAAATAAGTCTGGCTCTGCAGCCCAGACAACAAAAAAAAAATCTTTCTTCTCTTCTGCTTATGGTCTTTTTCTTTTCTTGTGCAGGGTGAATTTGAACGCACATGATGTTGCACTATAAACTGAGAAGTTCTCAGAGAATGTCACGGCCAACCCTTCGGGACAAAGATGCTCTATTCGGGGATGGTTTAAAGGAAAACAAAAAAAAATTTGATGAAATGTTGTTTGTGTGTTTTCCTTGATATCTTCGCTTGAAACCAGTGTCTCCTTCACAGCAAAATCGAGAATCCTTTAATTTTTATTTTATTTTGTGTCACCTGGGTGATCAGTGAAAATGAAAAAAAAAATAAGAGCTAAAGCGGGTCGAAAAGATACGACATTCACAAACATTTCTTTGCAAATAAATTGTTACTCACTTTGTAAAAACTGTTCATCCCACATTACTGTCAGACCGACGGGCACCGCGGTCTTTGGTGGATGGAGTGATGACTTATCCTGAAAATAATACATTTATATGCAAAGAGACACTTGTATCATAAACTGCATGCCACTCAGACACTCACTCGAACCCGATGAAACCTCTGATCTTTATGCACCATGTATTTTATGCTGAATAACTGTTGTCACTGTTGGCAAACAAAGACGGTGGAGTCTACAAGAGGGGCTGTGTTTTTGTTTTTTTTAACCGCAGACCCCGGCCTTTTAATGAATGTTTGATCAAGTTGAATCTATAAAATAGTGATAAAGAGTGGAATACAATGACTAACTACCCAGTTGAGTGTGCAGGTGAACCTGCAGCAGACTCAGAAAAAATGCACTAAAAAGTTTGTATGTGTATGTGTGTGTCCTCGAAAAATAACGCCAGCACTTTAGAACTACTTAGAAAAAAAAACCAAGAAAAAAAGTCAAAGAGTGGTCGAGGGGGGGTGAGGCGAAAGGAGGAGAAAAAACTTTTAAAGCCATGTGTTCAAGAGCGCTGACAATCAGAATAGGAATGAGACCCAAAGTGCATTATGGGAGATCTGACATGACTTGCTGTGCTCTTGCTGTTCGCTTTGTCTTTCTCCGGCTTGCTTTGGTCTGTGCTAGCTTACTTTCCAGAGTGGAGGGGGGGGGGGTGGGGGGGGGGGGGGAGGAGAAGGAGGTGGTGTTGCTAACTCCAGCCTTCTTGGTTATAAGTGTGCGTCTCTGCAACATGGACTGATGGACGTTTGACTGACACCTTGGTGCTTCGTGATCAGAGCTTGTCATGAACGATATCTGTTGTGCTCTGGTCGGCACTGGCTGAACTAGGCGATCTGGGAACGGGACAATTTCAGTGTTGATTCTGCTCTTGTGTTTCAAATGATAAAAAAAAAAAAATGTTTATGCGCCTTCTGACTCAAGCATCAATAATATATACAACGGAAATGCAAGTTGCCACTTTTGATGTTGCATAAAATCTACCTTTCATTCCCATCATGGTATCTGCCATCATGAGTTTCAGTTGTGTAGTCCAGGAGTACCTGATTTCTTTAAATGCAATACAGAAAAATCTGCTTTCTAATAAAAGTCCTTACTTCACCAAATACTGCCACACATCTTTCTTTGTCTCTGTTTTCTGTAAAACTGTTTCTTGAATATTTTGGATAGCTCTTACTGCTTGAAAGCAGTGTGTCCAGAGAGAATGCCCACCTTACGATGCGATACAAATGTACAATATCATACACTATGATTTTATAGAAACTTAACATTACAATATGATACAATAGATACATCAGATCAATTAGATACATTACAAAAGAGACAAAATGATACAGTATGATGCAATACTACACAACAGAAATGGAATGGCACAATAGATACAATATGATGCAAGACCATAATACCACATCCAGTCTGTAGGGACTCGAGTATGGAAGTTGGTCTGGTAGCTGGAGAGGTGTAAGGACACTTCCCGAGTACTGCTGAGGTGCTCTTGAGCAAGGAGCCCCCAGCTGCTCTGGTGCGCTCCCTGAGTAGCAGTGTGCAGCAGCCCCACTCTGACATCTCTCCACTAATGCATGTCCACAGGTCCAGTTTGTGCATGTGTGTGATTCGGGTCTGTGTTTGAGAAGCATGTCTCTCAAAAACAGAGTGGAAACCAGAATTTCCCTCAGGGATTAATAAAGTATTTAACATTTCAAAAAAAGATGGGGTATGGTACGATACGATACAATATGATATTACAGCTTTACAGGTTTACAGCTTTGGGGGAGTGGAGGGGGTGCGGGCAGACGGACGCCGACACAAACACTTGAAGGAATCTTGGTGTTCATGTGTTACTTTTAATGGCAGCTGTCCTGTTCTATCGGAAAGGTATCCTTAAATGACTTCTTTCCCTGATTTCCGACTCTATCCACTATCATATCTCTACAATAAAGGCACAAAAAGCCCAAAAATAAATCTAACTTGACCTTCAAGGGGAGGCGGGGGGTGCCATTGGGGGGCCGCCCCCCTAATATAGAGGAAACACTGTGGTAAATGGATGATCTGATACTATAGAATTAAAGCGATACTGTATGATAAGCTAGGGTAATATAATAAGATATGATGCAATGCAATATCATTCATTATTCGCCCTTAAATGCACTATTTAATTTTTATTGCACTATTCACCACTGCACTGTTTCATATTTAGTCTTGTAAATATTAGTCTTTTCTTATTATGTTTATTGTTGGTATTTGATGTTGTACCTGTACATAAGAGAGCACAGTTCACCAAAGTTAAATCCCTTGCGTGTGTAAGCATACCTGGCCAATAAATCTGATTCTAATTCTGATTCTGAAAATCATTTTACAGAAGAATGAGTTGGCATTCATAGCTTTCTAAAACTTTAGGTAAGGAGCTGCGGACACAGGGAAAGTAGAACAATCCTTCTTATTGTTGGTGCAATACTTCAGCAAAATACTTCAATCAGATTTTCATTGCATTTTGTTGAAGGCTTCTCTTGGTATAATCAAAGTATTCAGTATACTGCTTTTGGGACTTCAATGCTACTGAACAGAAACTCTTGGCGTGCATTTTTATTTCATGCTAAATCTGTAGACTAAACAAGTCTTAAATTTGTAATCTCAATGTTTGCAAAAAAAAATATCTCCAGTAATACAAACACCTTTTGGAAAATGCATGAAAAGTGGAGATTACTAACTTTATGTCAACTCTATGCAGATTACTTTTGAGTGAGAAAATATTTCCATCACAGCACACGAAAGTATTGGAAACTGCAGCATACAGGGACAGATTTACTTGACAGATGCAGGACAAATCATCATTTTGAAAACCGACAATAAGAATTATGATTTGCTTTTACAGATGGCGTAAATATGTTCAACCCCTTCAATGTGAGAGATTATCTTTTGAAAGTAAACTCTTTTCAAAGCCAGTTGCCTAATGACTTTTTAGAAAAGTGTATTCACTTGACAGCAGAAATGAGGGAAACTGTGCATTTCTAAATCTATATGAGACATTAAGTGTTTTCACTATTTCTGTTGAATGTATGTTGAATGTTGAATTTCTGTGGTCCTGTAGTTGTAGCTTTATAGCCTAGGCCTAGTTGTTTTTTTGATCTAATACTATATTTTTAAAAATTATTTTAGTCCACACACACGCGAATCCCCTCCTTGACTCTTACCTCCTTTTGTTATTATTTATCTGGATTTTTATACACCTCTTATATGTATATATATTTTTTTCCTTCTTTTTTACCCTATAATAGAGTTAAGTTATATCTGTCTTGTTGGGTTTTTATTTTTATTTTATTATTGTGTTTATCCTTGTAAACATATAGATACAGCTGTAAACAAAAAAGGAAAATTGAAGAACTGT